CATGATCTAGGAACTCATTGTGATGTGTGTTGTGTTTAGTTTCAAGACAAGTGCCACTAAGATCTTCTTCATCTTCTCCTGTACTACCTCCTGTACTCTGTAGAATTAAGTGGCTAACGAAATTACATTGCGGAGTAACAACGGACTTGCACATAAAACTTTTTACCAATATCCGTTAACACTCGCGGCTAAATACAATAGACGTTCGAGGAGCGCGGTAAGCGATTTCTAAGTGCAATGCTACTTTGTCGTACATTCCGTGTGTGTCTAGTATGATTTTCTAAAAAAAGATATGCGCAAGACATTTCCGACAAAAACTGAAAACACCAAGTATACGTTCGAAAAAACAAATTCTTTCGTATAAACGAACTAAAATACTTTGTCTCAGAGTGATCGATTAAAAAAATAACTGATCAAAGAATTCTTCGTAACAAGTAATAAGTAAAACATCTCTAAATCTGTCATGCAAGATACAGAAATGGCTAAAAGACTTGTATCGAATGAATATAGATGCAAGAGAAATCCTTGTTTTAGAATCCGGGATATTGCCGCGAGGAGTCATTAAGATTTTGGGTCCTTAACGTGACTGGAAACAGTGACAAACCTCCGTCGATGGTAAATGTACTACTCCGGTACTTCGTCTTTTTTCTCGAAGCTTCCGTCGATCGCGTTGCTGCTTTCCCTTGTTTATGTGCGTTGGCCTGTGCAAACAGGATACGACACTAAAGACACTAGAACCAGATCCAGAAAGTGTTAACAGGTCGCGCGAACTCTATGCTGGATCTACTTAGTTGCATTTAGAAGACACTTGCGTTTAACAAACAAAAAAAAAAAACTCAATCTTTGCGGATACCTTATTTAAACGACAACAGTTTTGTTTTACTAACCGGCCAGTCACTCGTTTGTCCTGTTTCCTCATTATTGGTTTGTTCTGCTGATTCTCGTGTTCCGGTGGAAGCACACTGTTTGAACTGGTGTCGCACACACCTTGGGATTCTTCCACATTCTGTGCACTCTCTGCAAATGAAAATGTCTGAGTGAAGAAGTCACAGGTCACGAAGTAATAAGACGAATGTGTGTTTGTTACTTTGAAAGTTTATGGAAGAAGAGTCTCCAGTTCTGGGTGGTACCACTCGTGCCCGTGCGGTTCTGATCCTAGATCTCCTGGACGTTAACTCGAAGTCATTGTCAAAATCCTCCTGGCTGACGGAGCTGGACGCCATGCCGGTTATGTCGCTGGAAAATAAAATAACGTGATTGAATCGGATCTGATGATGATGATGATGATGTGCAATTGAAAAAACTGTGCAAAGAAAAAAAACATTAAAAGAAGGCTCTTACAAAAAATACCTGGACATCTGAACAAAAGAGTAGGTGATGATGTGCGATACCTATGTTGGACCAGCACAAAACTTGGAGGCCAAAAAGCGAGTGCTTGATTAGGTTTGTCTAAGGGGAAAGTCACAACGCATGAACCGCTTTTAACTACGAGCAAGTGTGTACGCAATAAGACGATAACAAAACTTTGACAGAAAACAAAGAGCAATTCTTAAGGTATTAGTCACCTGTCGTGGTGAGTAGTCTTCACCTAGTTCCACTGCCAATGTCGTGATTCACTATCAACCTACGTGCAATTGACAGCTGTCAACCATTGAAACATCCATAAACACGTACGGCCTATACGATTACATAGTTCAAAGTAGATAAGCATATCGATCGTCCATATACCTTGTCTAAAGCGCAATTTCCAACGCATAATTTCAATATCACTAGAGCAATGATCCCGATAACGTGAAATGTTACTAGAAGTATATATATATATATATATATATAT